TACATAATTTAGTAAACTAATTGGTCACTTGACTAATTAATATGATTCAAATGAATTAATTGGTTATGAAAAGGAACTAATTAAAGGTAGAAAAAAGGTAATAACTAAATGGTTAACTGATTTAGTAACTAATGAATTAAGGATAAAAAGTATGAATTGAAATGGTATGGTAAAAAGGGTTAGTAAGATAAAGGCATAAGAAGAAATTGATAGTTAATGAATAAATGCATTTAATGGATTAGTTTTAAATAAATTGAGAACCAAAGTTCCTTAAGTCCAAATAAAATTTTAAATGACCAAAATATTAGTTAAAGTTTTAAATGAATTTATTAAATGCTTTATTGAATTTTTGAAAAAGTTTATGCATAAGTTTTATTTAATGTGGACCTATTATTTCATATTTATTTGGGACCTTATACAAGAACCTTATATAAGAACCGCCCACTTAACCAATAAAGAGGAAAATGTTAAGGGAAGAGGTTTGTTGGGTTGCATTTATTGCACTTCGAGTGTAAGTCAATACCAATAATATCATCGACCTATTTAGGACCTACGTCGAGGGTGTTATAGAGTGGTATCGAGCTGCATCTACCTTAGGTATCTAATTTAGGATGACCGATTAAGCAAACATAAGTCAAGTCTCAAGGATAAATAAGGATCAAAGGTATGTGATGCTCAATAAATATATGCTTATATGGTATGTTTATTTGATGTTATTTGATATTATGTGAATGTTATCCGGACTATGACGTTTGAATATGAATGTATGATTGGTCGATTATTGAGAGGCAACTAAAGGAGAGGAAATTAATAAGGTGTGTGATTACACATGTGATTAGTATAGGATGCCACCAAAGAGGAATAATAATAATAACAACGGACACTGGTCCGAATAAGACTACCGTGGATAGGAAGGAACAATTAATGGCGCTACTTAGACAACGAGCAGGATATGATGTAGAATATGCAAAAAATGATGGAGGCACAACGAAGAACAACAAAATATGGTAGTGGCTAGACAACCACAACGAGCGAACATAGTTAAACGCTTTTGAAAATTTAATCCAAAAAAAATTTAAAGGAAAACCGAATCTAATGCTCTGCTAAGGAGCAACTACTAATCCATGAAAACTATCTTCGAGCATATCGTGTTAGAGGATGCCGATAGGATAGCTTGTGTTATGTTTATTTTAGCAAGTTATGTGTGTATTTAGTAGGAATCGACAAAGGTCACCCTAGATATGCCATGGCTTACTTGGGCACAATTTAAGTGTTCAATGAGAAATATTTCTCAAACACGGTTAAGTCTCAAAAGATTCATTAAGTCCTAAAATTGGAGTAAGGAGATATGTTTATGGCAGAGTATATCCGAAAATTTAAACATGGATGTTGTTTTGCAACTTTTGTCTTTGGTAATGCGGTAAAAAAGGAAACATTTTTTAGAGCCCTCTTACATCGAAAAAAACTATCTCCGAATTTACTAAAGAACACCGAATTCTTGTCGGATACAACATTACTAGGTAGTCCATGCAGTTTAACAACGAGCATCTATGAAGGCATGAGGTACGTAAATTGCTGAATTAATAAGGATGTTCTAATGCAACAAAGTATTCATACTTTGTCAAAGAAAAAACCACTACAAAGATGGCATTCTGTCCTCCATTTAAAGGCAACCCTTTGATGAAATCCATAGGGACGTCAATGAAGATTGCTTATGGTACCGACAATGGATTCAACAAACCGGGAGTTGCAATTCTTTCATAGTTACATTGTTGGAAAATTGAGCATTGTCTAACATACTCACATACTCCTTTAGACAATCATTTCTAATAAAAGACATAAGCAAATTTCTTGGTGGTGGTATATACTCTAGAATGACCCCTCCGTAGCTGAATCATGGAACAAAGAGATCAAATCCTTTTGCAAGCTCAAGTCATATCCTACCACTAGTTTCCCTCTTCTACGTAATTGGTCCTTATGCCAAAAATATATATTTAGAAAAATACTAAGGATTATTCTTTAACCGAACAATGACGGATACCAAATATGAATCATTAAACCGGAGATTCACCATTCTAGGAAGAATATCGGTTGAAACTCGTAGAAATAGCAAGCGCCGACAATTCCGCATTAGGAATTCTATATCTATAACTTGTGGGTGGATTCTCTTACTCCTTCGATTCGTTTTAAATATGCTAATTTTTTAAGGCTCTAAAGGGAGGAAACTTTGTACTCGGTTCACTTTAACCTTTGTGCATGATTTAGTTTTTTGTTTCACAACTCTCTATGTTTTTTCATTGTTTCGATCTGGATCTTTTCATTTTTGGTTGCTAGATGTTTTGCTCGTCTCGCTCGCTAAGATCAGTAACTCGAGAAAAAGAACTGTGGCCATAGTAATTAGGTAATATATCCTTACTAGTATTATTTTTGTTCAATTTTCATTGTTTCGTTTTGCTTTCCATCGGTGCTCGTTCAATAATATGTTCTAAAATATTCTATTTTCTTTAAGCGATAGAGGCGGAAGAAGTCGCTCGAGTTTCATGACCGATGGACATACAGATTGAACTTAGGACTTGCGCACATTATTGCCATGTCATATACATCTCTTACTTTAGGACTACCTGTTAGTTTAAGAACCTTGTCTCTATGTTTAGGATGTTTTTCTTTTAAGTTCAATTCGCACCCAACTTTAAGGGGAGTTCCATTCAGTTTGACCTAGCTATGAAGCACAAGTTTGACGCCGTGCCCATCTTCTTGCCATTAATTATTTCAACAGATAATTTTTAATATGTGATTCTGCATATACGGATGTAATTTATTTCTAATCACAAAAGGCTAACGATTCTTCGAAAGATAAAATTTTTATTGCGAGTGCTCAATGGCAGCAAAGCAAGCATGCTCCAAACCACAACTAAATAAATTCCAAGTTCATAAACCGATTAAAAGGCACTCGGACTATAGCATAATGAGTTCTCCAAGTTTTGGACCATCCGGTTCTTTACTAAGAACATTGTGCACTCTACTCCATTGAATAGAGTAGCTTGAATTTGTATTAATACATAGCTTATAGTAAAGACTTTAAAAAAATGAGCAAATTAAATTAAGGCATGGTCAAAGATAAGCACACCCATATTACAAATTTGAATCAATCCTTGGTTCCTATACCGGTGAAAATATTGAACCATGGATTAGCAAGCAATACTTACCTAATATGCCCAAACTTTCAAACGAGTCTAAAAAAGAAGGTAGCCAAAAACTTAAATCTCATCGGAATTTGTTACTAGAATCAATTCAATATCTACATATATATGGACAGAGACTAGACCATGGTTTTGGACACTCTGGGGGTCACGCAAACTCAAATTGCATAAAAGTAAATTGGCATAATGGCAATACAATAATCGGTTCTAAGCTATCTAATCTTACCGACAATGCTCTATAGGCGGCAATGTATGTCCCGAAATGACAAACTTGAATACAATAATATAGAACTACCACGAGCTTGGATTTGTTAGTAAGACACTAATAGATGAGCTGGGGATGGCAATGGGCCGGATACTCGGCCCATTAAGCCAATCTCTTACTCCATCCACTAAAAAATACTATACACATTACTTTATCCATTATCCATTAAAAATCATTTATTCATTTTTTAACCTTGCCCATATCCATTATATCATACCCCGCCCATACCCCGTCCATACCCATTTACCCGTTAACTTTTTTCTTTAAATTGAAAACTTTTTTTTTTTAATTTTTTTTAACCGAAATGATGTACTTAATATGAAATGGTTGTTAAAGTAAATTAAGATTTAAGAGTTGGACTATCTTACAAACCATTATTTAATTTATTTTTTATTTTTTATACAAAGTTTTTTTTCTTAATTGAGAAAGATTAAAAAAAAACTCGCAATGGTTTTTTTCGAGGCCATTGACTCTTATTTTTCTTATAGATTGACTTGAACAATAAGGAAAAAAAAAAAGAAGCTATTAATCCATGTTAAGAGTAATATTAATAATGATATTTGTAAAGAATAATTCACAAATTATAATTATAATAATAATAAAATAGAGAGATTCACTAGTCAACTTGCATGTGTGATTGTTTAGATAAATGTTAAACTAAATGATAAATAATAATAATAATAATATCAACAAAACCGTAGTTAATTACATAAGTGCCTTAAAAATACTATTTGTTTTTTAATATATAAATAATAATAATAATAATATCGACGAAACAATTTGAATGATTGATTACATACTTTTTCTCTCCTTTTTTTTTTGTTTATTTTAAAATTTTATGTTTTAATACTTTTTATGTTAATGGGTAAAAGATGAGTATTAATAGAGTAAAAAAAGTACTCATATTCATGAATAAATTGTCTATTAATATAAATGGGTAATACTATTTTACTCATATTTAGCTCATTACCCATTAAGATATTTTAAAAGAGTAATTAATGGACGGGCTGAGTAGAGTACTCATTTTTTACGTTGCCCACTGCCATCCCTAGATAAGCATAACAAAACTAAGAAACACATGGTTGAATATAAGCATTCTCACATCTAAAGCTTGCCATCTTAATCAATGCATGGAAAGCTCTCAATGACACAAAACTGAAATCAGTCAGCAAAATATGGCTAAGAAATTGAATCTCAAAGAAGGTAGACAAAAATTGAAACAACATTTATATTGTAACTAAAATCACTTAAAAATCATTCAAATACCTACTTATACATTGATCAACAGACTGGACAATGATTTATACATTGAAATCTAATAAATGGAGAGATGAAGTAATGAGACTTCCAATTGCATTTGCTATTCTTAAAAGAAAGAAATTTGCATAAGTAGGAAATACTGAAAAAAAAAAAAAAAAAAACTAAAAAGATTAAAGTCCTACAACATTTTCACTATTAATTTTTTTTTCCCTTCAAAAAAAATACAAAAAAAAAAAAAAAAGGTTACAACAAGAGATGAGTAGGATTGTTACCAATCACCACCACTGATGAACAAGAACTCCCCTGTCTCTAAGAGAAGTAAACAGGTCCAAGCACTGCCCATATGTTTTCTCATACTTGGAACTCCTCTGTCCAGGACAACATCTTTGCCACCTATTGTAATGGCATTCAAGAAAGATTTCATCAATCAAACAAATGGCTCCAGTTTCAAACAACCTCGGTATCAAATCAAACTCAGTCCCTTCGACGTCCATCTTCATCACCACAAAATCCTTCTCTGTCACCGTGCTCTTCAACCACTCCGCAAAATCAAACCCTTCAATCTCATTCACCTCTCCACTGAAACTTCCCGACGATGAAGCTGATTTCACCAGCTGAATTCTCCCCATCCCTCGCTCTTTAACCTTAGCTTCCTTGCCCGGATCATGATTAATCTCAAACCTCAACGTCTCATTCCTCACCCATGCTGCATACGGCAACAATTTTATCCCTTTTTTCACTCTATACTCCTCATAAAATGCCTTATCCGCCTCAATAGCATACACATCAAACGTCCTATTCTGTTTCGGATATTGCTTCTTAAACCAACTCCCTATACTAGATCCGTAACTCCTAGCTCCAACATCAACATACACATACCTACTCTTAAAACTAATATCGGCCATTGCCGGCAAATACTTAATATTATGTATATTCCTTTTCAATGTAATCCACGGCTTCAATGGCTCTTCCGTTATCAGAGCCTCAGCATTGCGCACCAAATCCCTTTTATACCCCGGAACAGAGCATGTATTCCCCAGTTTGCCATCATAGTTTTTGCTAAGAATTTCACTCCCTACTTTCTTTTGCAAAACAATTTCTCTAATAAAAGGCATGGATGAATCATAACCTTCAATGTCACGTGACTTGATTAATTTGCAAGAATTAAATAAATCAAGAAACGAATTAAAACTATACGTATCTTTAGAACTCACGTGAGCCACAAAAAACCCTTCGGGTTTCAATGTCCGTTGGATATCCGACACCGTTAAATCCAACGGCCGCCGTGAAGTCTTATCCAACCGGTCCCCACCGGAGAATATAAAGTCAAAAGTATTCTCATCGAACGGCAGTCCACTCTCCTTCAACGAAATCACCAACGGCTTTGATGCTTTTTTGTAAATTCCAATAGAATCCAAAATGCCGATTTCTTTCAAAGCGAAAACATCTTCTCCTTTGGGCGTTTCCACACACATAGTCTTAGAAATCGCTGAAAGATAACCGTCGGATACCAGATCACGAAAGACATCAGAATAGAAATGAACGGCCTTGATCCAATCTTTACTCGTGTAGAGATCTCGCTGTGTTGGACCCGCTGATGTTGATACCACCGCTCTGTTCGCAGTGGAGACACCGCTTCCGGTACCGGCGATGACTAAATTGAAACTCTCCGGTAAGAAACAGAAGTCACCGAGATTGCATGATTCGCCGGTGATTGTAACGATGTAAGCGAATCGGACGATTATGATTAAAACACCGAATAATAACACCTTCACTAAAACGTTGCTGAAGAAGTTTGGTTTCGCTGCGGGTGGCTCCATGATTGTTACCATACAATTGCCAAAACAAATTCAAAGAAAAGGGAATATGGAGAAGAGAGAGTGATTTTCTTTTTTCTAGCGAGAACAGAAGCGAGCGGAGGTGTGGTTGGCGCCAATTAAGGTTTTTCTTTGAGAGATAAAGGAAAAGATTGGGAAATAAGGTGAGATATGAGGAGTATAACGGAAAGACATTTTTCAATTTTTGAGAGAGTTTGGTTCTGTTATGCCATTTTGCTCGAAGAGTGAGAGAGAATGGATTTGGGCAAGAAGATAAAAGCCAAGGAACGCGGTGTGACGACTGATGACCGAGATAGCCGGTTAAATTAAATAACACGCGGAATGGAAGCGGATAGAGTTCCGCGGAAAGTAAGAAGGTGATGGGATTTGTATTTGACATTGGAGTTTGAGAAAATATCGAGATTGCCACTACCCGGAGCTTGATGGTGACGTTGTCAGTTTGGAATTGGGATAAAGGCTATGCATGATAAACCACGTCTTTTGCCACATCTCTCTTTTATTGAGTTAGTTGTATTTTAATTAATTGTTTTTGAAAAATTATACATACAAATTAATCAGTTTCATATAAAATATGCTTTCTTAAAATATTTTTTTTCCTCATGTTTGGCTTATCTTGTAAAACTTGATCATAGAAAAAAATAAGTTTAAAACAAGAAAAAACAACTTAAGATTCTTAAAAAATTAAAATATCTTACGAGATTATTTTGTCATTGAATCATTAATCCCATCATTAATTAAATTAATTTACTACTAATTTTTTCATATATATACCAAACATCAAACAATTATTTTCAAATAGTTTTCTGACATAGCCAAATAATAAAATAATATATATTTTTTGAAACTTAAAATTGTTTTTGACAAATAACAAAATATTTTACTTAATACAAATGGAGCCTGATTTAGTTTATGAAGTCATTGGGTAAGTAGGCTTTAACTCATCTTCATGCAATTAATTTCTATGAGATTGGGGTCTCGTTTTCTTTTTCTTTTTTTTTTTTTAATGCCTAATAATACTAATAAAGGTCAATAATTTGGACATTAAAACTTTCAATTTTAGTGATTTATATACTATAATCCGAGTTTCAAGGGTATAAAACATATGGGATATTTCCTCCCAAACTGAAAATATACCAATGCTTCAACCATGGTTGAGTAATCAGGAGCATTGGTGAACTAAAAATTATGAATCCCACGCCACTTATTATCAAATCTTTGAGTAGACCACATTCTACTCTCTTTAATACTATTTCTTTGCATGCTAGAAAATTAGATTTCAAGATTTTTATGCGAAGAAAAGGGACAGAAATAAAAATAGCAATATTGTCAACATCTTCATAAGTTTCTCTTGATCTATATATCCATTTTCATATTTATTAGAGGTAATTTTCAAATGGATATCTGTCAGGACATTGTTTATACTCATAAAACGAGTTATTATATTTTCTTAGTAAATTAAAACATGTAATTTATAGTCTAAAACAAATATAAAGAAAAGAGGTGAATATGTATTGATTGAAAGTAGTATAAAAAATTTAGAATATACCATATCCACTAAAAATGAGTAAATTATAAATTAATTATTCTCATTTCAAAAATTAATTATTTAATTTTTTTAACTAGTGTTGATCACGATTAATTTAATATTTTTGTATCTTATAAAATTTCTTCTTTTCTCATTGATCTTTTTCATATTTTTATTCATTTTTTATTTTTTTATTTCTTAAAACAAAAAAAAAATTGAAAAATAATAAAAAGACTAAATAATTAGTTTTTTACACCAAATGATTTGATTAGTTCGTTTTTCGAAGCAAGATGGACTAATTTATAATTTACTCCTAAAAAACGCATTTCACTGAAAAAAAATCATGAATATACAAAATTATGCATATATTTAGATATGAATCGTATATTATGCATATATTTAGACATGAATTGCAAGTTAATGCATCCACTTTTGTCTTTACATGAGTATTTAATACTTTTTATTATTATTATTAATTTTTTTAACTCATACACTTAAGACTCTTAATAAAACTAACTTGCTAACATTTAAATTTTTGATTTCTTATTGCAAGATATCGTTACCGCTACAAGCTCTTTGGAATGGTATTTATTACTTGCCTCCAACACCATGGATAAAAATCTTCCTTCATATGGTATTGTATATGGAGAATTCCATGGAATAACTTCTATTATCGTTCTTAAAATAAAAAGAAAAGCAAGTTCGAGATTTTTTGACATATACATGATTGGCTAATTAATTACCTGCTATTTGGGGATTACGTTGTTCAAGATTTTTTGACATATACATAATTGGCTAATTAATTACTTGGTATTTGGAGATCACGTTTAAAGTGACAACATTTCAATCTCAAATTTTAAAATACTCTCAAATGTAATTATTATATTTATAATAATTACTTTATAAGTTTATTTTTGAAAAAAAAGGATAAAAACAATTACATCCGAATTTACAAAAAAATAATAAAAATAATTTTATCTTGGCTCAATTTTTTTCTTATTTTTTTATAAAATAAATATCGATAATTACTCAATAATTATTTTATAATTTCATTTTAAAAAATAAAAACAATCATAGCCAGACTTACAAAAAATAATAAAAATAATTTTATCTCAGCTTAATTTTTGTTTCTCTTATTTCCTTTTTTATAAAATAAGTATCCATAATTACTCAATAGTAATATAAAATTCCTCTCATTCGACACATAATAATCTTTTTGCTAGGACGAATCCAAATTAACACTTTCCCAAGTGAAGCAATAATGCGCAGACATCCCATAACGATCCGTTAGAATGTAATATCCGAATTCGTCAAAAAATGGCTCCCAGCAGAATGCATTAACGGTCCCCAATACTCAATTTGGTGTCCTAACTACGGTTACGTTTTGAGAAGCCGACAAAGTGTCACTATCTTAATTCTCACTTGCCGTTCGTAATGGACCAATTAGAAAACAAAAGTCATCGGCTTTCTCTATCAAATTAACCCAACACGACACACCGTTTTCCTGTCAATTTCCTATTGGCATTTATTTTCCATCTACAATAGCTACCGTACTGAAAATGCATTGTGCTCAATATTCTAGACATCGTAGTTCGATATAATTATTAATTTTCTCAGTTTCAAAGAAATTATTTATTTTTTATTTATATATGTTTTATTTAAAATATTTAGTTAGTTAAAATTTTAAATGGTATGTTTTCTTAGAATACTCCTAATTAAGCTGCAGTGAAGTTTTTATTTTATTTTTGTGGTTGTTGTTATTGGTAATGCGTCCTTTAGAGGAACTGGTTTTGAACCCAAGTAGTTCCACTTTGATAAATTACTCTGCAAGAATAAGATTATTTTATTTTATTTTATTGAATCTAAAGAAAAATGGCTAAAACCCCGAAACAAACACTAAAAAAATACAAAGTACAAAGACCAAGAGATAGCCACTCCGTATCATTATTCTCTTGATCTCATAACCCTAAATATTTTGTAGTTGTAAACTATTCCGCGTAAGCCACAAATAATAAACCTTATTGGAAAAAATAACAATGATCATTACGCATAACAATTAGCAATATCATACCACCGGTAGGAAGCTGCATTTGAGAACAACAAACAAATGAAATAGAATAAGTTATTGATAAGTAATTTTTGTTTCAAATTATCTTTTTTTTTTAATTTTTTGTTGAGAACAAAGGGAATGGGTGAAAAAAGAAATAAACATCAAAATAAAGATAATTTCAGAAAAACATTTACCGATCTTATAAAAACTAATGAAAGAATTAAGTTATTGATAAAATTAAAACATAAATAATTAAAAGATTAGTTTTAAAAATGAAATAAACAAGTTAACTCATTTTTCGAAACAAGAAGAGTAAGTTATGATTTACTTAAATAAGAGGTTTAGGTAATACGTCTTATACATCAATTTGATAAGTATGTAAAAGTCAATACGTTAAGTTATGTCAATACATTTGCTAAACATGATAGTTAATAATCCATAAATGAATATATCGACATCTGAGTTCGAAAGCATGGAGTCGTGGAATGATATTTGTTACCAACTAATAATTAAATTAACATGCATTGATATGAACGGGAACCAGTTTAATTTAACTAGCAGTTCCAAGAAATTCTAGAACCTCCATCGGTAGCATCGGCCAAGTTCACCGGATCAGGCAGTAACCCCGCGAGCTCTTCTCGGGGAAATAAGAAGCCAATAAAAGGTATCTTCTTCTTGTGGGCGCATCAAAAGCTGCACTAGCCGTTGCTGTCTTGTTGGCCTTGTCCATTTTGGACAAAATGACACAACCATGGAATAAAAATGGAAAAAAAAAAAAGGCTATTAGGTTACTTCTCGTGACAGAAAATATTGGTATTGGCTGTCGTTTGCAAAAGCGAAAAATACACGGCAAACGTGTAGCTTAATTTTGTGGACAAATTGAAGTTGGCCAGCTGTTGCTTACTCTGGGATGACCAAAACATTTAATACACTCCAGGAAGACAGATAGTTTTTTTAATTGTTTTAGGCGTTTCTTATGTTTTCAGTTTGTCATCTCTTATCTTCTTGGAGAAATGCTTTGGAAGTAAGCAAGTTGGCTTCTTCGGATGCCTTTGGACACCATTTGCTTCATATATGGGACGATTTGCTGTTTAACACCATTTAATTGACTGGTTATCAATTTAACTATAGTTCATAACAATTCTCGCTACATATCATAAGCTATAGCATCCAATTAAGTAATTTTGGAAAATTCCATAACTATTATTAGCTCTCTACTAGTTTTTTTTTTAATTAATTGTCACAAAGATAATAGAATAATTACAATAATCTTTTTAAAGTATCATAAAATTACAAAAATCATCACAAAATTTGAAGGTTTGATGGAAACCTTCTATCATACTTAAAATACTCTCAATTACTATTTAAAACAAGACGATATTTGAATTAAGAAATTTAAAAAACTAG